TTTGATCTAGACCTTAATGTTACCCAACTTAATGTTCTTTGCTCAACATTTATTTCCAGCGAGAAAATCTGAACTCAAAATCTTATCTTTTGCCATCACAATTTCTTTCATTGACCCTATCTATCTCTCTGAAATACTATATCAATGAATAAATTAATGAAACAACGGGTCCAAGTTGAAGCATGCCTAAATTACATACCGATCTGAATGATGTGACAATCCTTGATCTGGGTCGCTGTTGCCTCATCCTTAAACTGGTACAATCCTCTCCTCTCTCTCTATCTTTCTCTGTCTATCTATCTATCTATCTATCTATCTCTATCTCTATCTCTATCTCTCTATCTCTCCACCCCATGGTCTAGGTGATACCAATTGGTAGTTTGGTACTGACTTAAACCAAGTGTAGGTACACTAAACCTTATGGGTCCAGCCACCAACCAGTACCAGTGCTGGCCTGAGATTTTAATCCATGATTGTCACATAACAATACTCGGACAAACTTGTATGTGTGACTTAATGGCCTAAAAAGAATATCTCAATGCTCAAAGCTTCAGGCTCCAACCAATCAAAAGTTTGGACTAGGTCAACATATGCAACCTTGTCCTTGCAAGTAAAAGAAGAAATTTCTGAATTCAAACTTGCATCAACTACATTGTTCCACACTTGTTAATAATTTGGAATGAAGCATTTCAAGTCATATTGGTTAACCCCTGCTCCATAAAAATTATTTAATTACCAAGTATCAATTCTAGTTTTACTAATCCAAACATCCAATCATTAAAAGCCACTGATTGAACTAGTCTATTTGGATGTACTATCTGCGGCAAAGCATTGTATTAAGAACATATCATATTTGGTTGCAAGATCTAGAACCTACAACAAGCTCCAAGATATGACAAGAAGTCAAAGGCATGTGATAACATAATATGAAATTAGAAATTAGCAGCCTTCAGATATACGAATGTTCAGAAAGAAAATATGATATGAATAAAGGAATCATGTAGAATGATGAAGTAGTTGGATTACCAAATTGAGAAGTTTTGGTTTGTCAACAGTGGAAATTGTTATTTCATGTGTAGGCCTGCAAGATAACCAGAGTAACAGACCATTAGTGTTCAAAATGCAAACTAAGTGGAACCATACAAACTTGCAATAAAACATTCATCTTAGTCAAAAAGTTATTTTAGTGTATATACAAAAATAGAAGGAAGAAATATATGAGTTATTTACAGGATAGATTTCTATCTGTTATATAAAACTGACACTTCAGTTATCATCAGTTAATAGATGGAAACTAACACCACCTCATATCATACGATACATGAATAATCAAACATGATCAACACGCAGAAACACGAAAGTTCAATTGAATAGAGAATACACAAGATATATATCTCTGATCCTTATACACAAACTTTACAATGTACAAGGTTTTGAAATACCAATTCAGCACTCATCCCTATAACCTGTTAGACCAATATGGTACGAGTATACGAGGCAGTATATCAACCCATACCACCCGGTGTCATTGAATAAAATAAATAAATAAATAAATTGAATGCATACCAGTGTTGAGCTATACATTTCAATACTAATACTAGATTCATAATTACTGATCAGTACATATAGGTCCGACCGATACTTAAAACGTTGCAGACAAATATGCTTATATGTGTATGTAACATTATATACATATATATTCACATTATTAGTAAAGTTATCCTTTTCTCTCCCAAATAAAGTCATCACTTAATGTACAAGATATATAGATCCAGGTGGAATTTGAGGAAAGAAACCTGGGTAAGAATTGGAAGGCACTTTCGCCTTGAACATGATGCCTGCTGCTCTCATTATCAACATCAATGGCCTCAAGATCAGCCGAGGAGCCAAGGGAAGGCAAATGAACACTGAGGATTTTGTAACAAATTCTTGAAACACTAGGAGAATAATGAATGGGAAAACTTTATTTGCATAGAGAACAGCGGTAACAACAAGAAAGTATTGCACCTTCGTTTCCTAAAGGAAGCTGAAGAAGATAGAATCCTCGCCTCCCCTCGTGCACTGGAATCAGAAGTATCATCTTTGTCTACATCAACAGCTTGAATTACCTAGAATGGATTAACCATTGTTATAAAGCCATAACCAAGAGCACGATGTATCAAGGTAAACAATGAAGTTCAAAAAGCCAATTCAAGCAGAAAAATCATGCTTCAGTATGCAGTGTATGTGGAAGGCCGAAAAAAGGTGATAGTAAGCTGCAGACAAAAGTTTGCATATTCCAAATTCAATAGTAGGACACAACCCAAATTAGTCCCAATCAATCCACTGTAAATGAGTAGCAAGTAATCAGCATTGGTGGAAACAACAGGCATTAATTTGAATTCCATTAAAATAAGCATGGAGAGTGTCTCTAAAGATAGAATATTCCATGTGGAGAATCACATGATGGATAAGCAAGTTAGGCTTTTACCTGAAGAAGACGGACGGCAAAGACGGGCCTCTTTTCAGGATCTCGAGCATGTTCCAGCAACTTTATATGCATCAAAACATCCTCGGCCCTCTCCACATTCACATCCATCGCGTAACTGCAGGGACCAAAAAGTAGCAGATCAATAATGAGTCAAAAAATGGAGAAAACGCATCAAATCGGGTGGCCATTGAATAACTATAAAAAAACTAATCTGGAAACAAAGAACAAATCAACATGTTAGAAGCAATAATCAAATGATGGAACTCAAAATCATGAGGGAAGTTCTATAACCCAGTCAGCAGCATCATTTTTCACACAATAACGACGACATGTGGATGGTTTGCAAAAACAAGTAACCAAGAACTGAATTCGAACGATGAAGTAGAATTCGGATTCAAAAGACAACACCCAAAAAAGCCAGACAAAAAGAGGTCAACAGATGGAAAGGCACCACCTTTCAGTCTTCAAAACCCAATCGCAAAGCATCTGGAGCAACAAGAGGCAGTCGCAACAGAGACGTACCAAGCGGGGAGACGATGAAAGTGGGTCCACAGTTTCCCCTCAAAGGAGGGCACGAGCGCCTCTGGCAGCGCGGCCTCCCTGAGGCGGTGGAGGACCTCGTTGAAGACGTCGAGCCGGTACTGCTCTTGCATCTGCTTCTGCTGCGGCCGCGGGTGGTGCACCTCCGACGAATCCGCCGCCCGGCTGATGCAGCTCTCCGTCGCGTCTTCCCTCTCCTTATCCGTGTTCAAAACACAACACCAATCGAAGAACAACAAAAAGATCCGATCTTTTGGTCTTCCTTGTTGCAAAAATCTCTCCTTTCGCCGGATGGGAGGGCTCAGGTTGTAAACGAGGTTGCGACAACACAGAGGCGGTCCAATTAATAATATATACCCAATTGGTCGAGAAAAAGTAAGAAATGACAGCAGAAGAAAACAGAGGAAGAAGCGAGAGATGCCGAAGAATATCTCGTTGGCTCGGATGATCGAAGCATTTAAATATAATAACTGGCGTCATCTCCGATGAAGTCAGTTGAGTATATCAAACAAAATCTGAATGTTAATGAAACAGAATCATGCATTCACAAGAAGCGGCGTGCTCTGCTCACAGAGACCGGATTCGGGTGTGCAATGCGCAAATCATCAGCACACAAGTCCGTAGCAACCTTGGTTGACTTTTGCGTCGACGTTAACATATCAAAGTCAACACCCAATTATTTATCCAAAAAAAGCCCACGCAAAATGATATCATCATCACCGAGTTGAATCAAAGAAGCAAGAAGGGTGGTGATCTGACATTGCACCGAGGATAGGCAGGATAGGCCGCGGTTGACTCCGTAGAGCTGAAGAACGTTTCTTTTCTTCATGGGAGAACAGTGACAAAGTCCAGCAAGAGCTACGCTTGACGCACTACATAAACTCATGCTTTGCATTAGGATGGTAGCAACAGATTGACCTTCGTCTTCACCTCAGTGCAGCCACAGCATTGTTCTGTGTCACAGAACAATGTCCACAGACAATATACTATTTGGAAAGCATTCTGCATCAATCAAACATAAAAGAACACTAAAAAGGTAATCTCACGAGCTAACAATTATGGCTACGAGAATATTCCTATTTTAGGATTTATGATGATGTCTCATCGGAGACATCCGATAAAATTGGAACGATACAAAGTAGATTAACATGACCCTGCACAAGAATAACACGCACAAATCGAGAAATAGGATTTATGAAGATAGTGTACTCCAAGTACAAGGAATTTCGAAACGAGAAGAAATCCTTGTGAGAAAAAAAATTATTGTTCTATAAATATTTCATGTGTCTTTACACTTTAATTGAGGGATAATAATATGTGAAAAATATTTGAAAAAAAAATATATAAATACACTATATATTTATGTGAGAGAATATTATAAGGAGTTCAAATTTGATTCTTTTCATGAATATAGATATTGTCGAATTACATTAATCTTGCATCAACCTTATGTTCTTGATCGTTAATTTTTAAATACTTTTAATTTTTATTTTTTTCAATCATTATAATATAAGGAATAATGAGAAGTTGTGAGTAATTTTTTAGTGGACTTTGTTCATTAAAAAATAATTGACAAAACCAATTGAAAAATGATGTATAAATAAATAATGTAGTTATTTCGTGACATCAAAGTCGAGCACGGGATTAGTCATAGGCTTATACGTATATTTCACTTAGTAAGAAGAATTAATACCGGTCAGAAAAAGCCCAAATTCGGCACCAAGATTTCTTGACCGTCCGTTGTAGGAATGGACGGCTGATATTGGTCTTCTCTCATTGTCAGCGGCCGTTGCATTTTGATGGTCATGCCAAGCTCTCGGCGGACCCTACCAATTAAATTGTCAATTTATCGTCCGCCACCGAAGCGCGCGCGCGCGAAAATTATGCTGCATCTATCGTCTCCCCGAAACTTGCTCGTATACAGCACAGTGGGAGTCGGTGTTGGTATCCGGGGTTCTTCTCCCCCACCACCCCCCCCTCTTCCTCTTCCCATTGCTCTGCCCCATGACCGATCCCTTCTCCTCCTCCCTTCCTTCTTGGATTTGTTGAGCCTGGTCTTGGATCACAACAACGAATCCGACATGGGAGACGTGGAGGAGGAGAAGAACCCCGCCGTAGCCGCCGACGGAGGAAGAGAGAAGGAGCGGGAGGCGGCCGCGGTGGCAGTGGCGGGCGAGAGAGAGCACGACGTGGACGACCTGATACGGGAGCTAAAGGTGATCATCGACTCCGTCGCGGCGTTCGGTGACTACCGCAGGACGCAGCGGAAGGAGTCCTTCAACTTGGTGCGGCGGATGAAGCTGGTGACGCCGCTGCTGGAGGAGATCCAGGAGCTCGAGGGTCCCATCCCCGATGCGGCCTACGCCCGCCTTTGCAGCCTCCTCAAGGCGTTCACGGCCGCCAAGAAGTTGCTGAGGTGCTGCCACGATGGGAGCAAGATATATCTGGTAATTGAAGACACTTGATGGTGTTTCTGATGCTCTTCCTTCTCAAGTTTCTCTTCGTTCTTCTTATTAGGCGTTGGAGGGTGAGGCGGTAATGGGCAGATTTCATATGGTCTATGAGAAGTTGAATCATGCGTTGGATGGCATGCCATACGAGGAGATTGGCGTTTCAGATGAAGTGAAGGAGCAAGTAGGCTTCTTGTCCTTTACATGCGGTGCTACAAACTTCTTCTGTTGTTCCAAGGCAAGGATTGATCATCCACGCTCCCCCTTCTTGCAGGTTGAGTTGATGAGCGTGCAATTGAGAAGGGCAAAGAGGAGGACGGATACTCAAGACATGGAGCTCGCTATGGATCTGATGGTGGTGATCTCTAAAAGGGATGATCGAAACGCGGATGGAGCCATCATCGAAAGGCTAGCTAAGAATCTGGAGCTGCAGACTCTCCCAGACCTGAGAGCAGAAACAATGGCCATCAAAAAGCTCATCAAAGAAAGATGCGGGCAAAATGGCGAGAGCACCCAGCAGATCATCGACCTGCTCAACAAATTCAAGCAGACCGCGGGCATCGAAGATACTAATGGGTTGAGCGACGTCACATTGCCTAAGTATCTCGAGAAGTGTCCATCTCTGATGATCCCCAATGACTTCCTCTGCCCCATATCTCTGGAGATCATGATGGATCCCGTCATCGTTGCGTCGGGGCAGGTGCTTGAAGCCGCCTCGTTTGGGTTAGACTTTGGGTCGTGTGATCGCCGGATGTTTGCTGACGACTACTTCTTCTTTCCCTTCTCGCAGACGTACGAACGACGAAGCATACAGATGTGGTTGGAGGCCGGTCATCGGACGTGCCCGAAGACGAGACAAACTTTAGCTCACCTTTCGCTGGCTCCAAACTACGCGCTTCGGAACCTGATCTTGCAGTGGTGCGAGAGGAACAAGGTGGAGTTGCTGAAACGGGAACCGGAACAGGACCCTGATCATTCCGAACGCAAGGAAGAGATCCCTTCGTTGGTGGGCGACTTGTCCAGCATTCATCTCGACGCGCAACGGAGGGCGGTGAAGAAGCTGCGCATGCTTTCTAAGGAGAATCCCGACAACAGAGTTGCCATCGCCAAGCACGGAGGGATCCCTGCGCTGGTCAGCCTTCTGCCGTATCCCGACTCCAAGATCCAAGAACACACCGTCACAGCTCTGCTGAACTTGTCGATCGACGAGGGGAACAAGCGGCTCATAGCCAAGGAGGGCGCGATTCCCTTGATAATCGAGATCTTGAAGAGCGGCACTGTGGAGGCGCAGGAGAACTCAGCCGCGGCCTTGTTCAGTCTGTCGATGCTGGACGAGAACAAGGTGACGATAGGAAGTATGAACGGCATCCCGCCACTGGTGAACCTTCTGCAGAACGGGACCATAAGAGGGAAGAAAGATGCGGCCACTGCTCTCTTCAACTTGGTTCTGAACCACAGAAACAAAGCGAGAGCCATCGAAGCCGGAGTCGTGGCTCCCCTACGCCAAGTGTTGGATGACAAGAACCTCGGCATGGTCGATGAGGCCCTCTCCATCTTCCTTCTCCTGGCATCACACCCCGACGGGCGGGCCGCCATTGGGCAGCTCCCGTTCATCGAAGCTCTCGTGCGGTTGATAAAGGATGGCACCCCCAAGAACAGGGAATGCGCACTCTCCGTGCTGCTTGAGTTGGGATCGCACGGTTCTTCCTTCCTGTTGGCCGCACTGCAGTTTGGGGTGTACGATCATGTCCGCGAGGTGGAGAAGAGTGGAACCAACCGAGGACAGAGGAAGGCCAAATCCCTCTTGCAGCTCATGCGCAAGTGCGAGCACGTTTAGCGACTGCTTGAGTTATCCCAAGCTTTATTATCCTATGAGAAGCATCAACAAGGAAAAGCTACTTCTACACTTTGATCTAAAATTTGCATGGTGTATGATGGAACTTGATGCTTTAAGAAGTTGCAAGTGTCTTCAATGCTCTGAATGTATAGCTTATATATATCATTGTGTGTCACTGTGTGTTTGATGGCTGTATGTTACTTCAGGAAAAATTTCAGAAGGAACAAAATGATACATAGATCATACCATCATCACCCTAAGCCAATTCGAAAACTGCATGTTTCTGAATCAGAGGCACTAAATAAGGTATTTAGTGCATATGTGACTTCAATAAAGCTTGGAGGTGTATGGCACTTTGACTCACAGGATATGTTGGTCCACAACAACATTCTATTATTGCTCCTCATGTCTGCCAGGGATCACAAAGACCACTATTTGTTCTGGTGTTTAGATATGGCAACATGAAGAAGAGAACCAAAATATTAAGATCATACAGATGGGCTTAATGAGGTTTGGACACAGAAATGTTCACTAAACTTTTATGGTGATCTCCTTTCCATCTCAAATTGGTTTAGAGTTCCAGTTGTGGTGACCTAGCAGTCATTTAATATGGATTCCCATTTATTCATGATCTGCATGAAAAGTTAAGCTGGTTGTCCAAGACTTTTGTCTTCCTTTTTCCACCTTACTGATCAATGAAAGGTTGCCTTTTGTGAAAACAACACTAGAATAATCCACCACATGAATAAAAAGAAAAAAAAGAGAAGCCACTGTCTAAAAGCAGCTATTGTGCTTCCAAATTCCATATGTTAAAATGCTTACGCAAGGCGTGCAATCGACTCAAACTGGAACTTTCAGCTCATTATCATATTAGAGTCATTATCTCAAACAATTCATTGCCAAAAATGACAAGCAAACTAGAACATACAAAAATGGGGAGTGATTTTTACAAGCAAAACTCACTCGACTGAAGCTTGCTATCACCATCTTTCTTTAGGAGTTTGTTAAGAAATTCCATGCCTTGGATGAAGCAGTCAGTCGGTGTGTTGTGAGGAGCTCTAGCCAAGACAGGAAGGAATGGCCTAATGGGAGACATTTTTAGCCTCTCTCGACCTGCTTTTCAAGGCTTCAATCTTCTCTAGTGTCTGCACCACTTCTTTCATTGATGGACGGCTCCTAGGATCACCGGCAAGACATTTTAGAGTCAGCTGCGCAACTTGATAAGCCCCTTTCGAGGAGTATTGCCCCTCGAGCCGATTGTCTATTAGTCGGGCCAACTTTCTCCTATCGGCTAACATTGGTCTAGCAAAATCTATCAAGTTGTGTTGCCCGCTTGGACGATTTGTGTCGAGAGCCCGCTGACCAGAAAGCATTTCCAGTAACATAACTCCGAATCCATACACATCACTCTTCACATATAAATGACCTGGATGAGCAAGGGAATTTGTTACAGAATAAGAATCATATTATGAATAGTTCATGTAAATACAAAAGATAGCAGAAACATCTTACGAGATACTAGAGCAAACAAGATCCATTAAGTTTTTAGTTCTAATATAGGAGTAAGAAGTGGACTAATGAATAATGTGCTGTTATACACTAGAACATTATGTCTTCCACAAAATAGCAGTTTTTTTACCACTTGAACATTTGAATGATGAAGCAACTGATGGCCTTTCAATTATATGAGCAGACTCCACATTTCAATATGTGAAAAGTAATCCAGTTTCTCATGCAGTAGCTACTCATATTTATTTGCACAAGATTTGAAGCAGTGAGTGCAAATCATTGAAAATACATACCAGTAGCGACATATTCTGGAGCTGCATATCCATAGGTGCCCATGACTCGTGTAGTGACATGTGAGTCTCCGCCACTCGGTCCATGCTTCGCTAGACCAAAGTCCGAGAGTTTTGCATTATAGTTCTACACAAGAGACAAGAAAATGCATAAACAGATCGCTTGGATTGAGAAAGCATATGAGGCTCTGAGGGAAACATTTTTACCGAGTCAAGGAGGATGTTAGAAGCCTTGAAGTCCCGGTAGATGACTTGCTTCTCTGATGTATGCAAGAATGCAAGGCCTCGAGCTGCACCTATTGCTATCTTCAGCCTTAGGCTCCAAGAAAGTGGCTCAAAAGCTGACCCTTCTGCCTCAAAAGAAAATTTACTTCTCAAACACTATCTTACTGAACTTACATGATTAGTAACATCATTCCAAGAGCAGTTCAAGAGAAGAAATAACTCTAGGTTCTTTTAACACAACATACAATTTCAGTAAATTTTTGAGTTCAAGAATTAGCTGAAATTTTTTAAGCTAGAATTTTCTTGACTGGGGATGCCCTTTGTACAAAGTTTTAATTTGAGGGAGAGGAACATTGCATATTTCTATGTCATGAGCATGGAAATAAAATACTTGATTCCAAAACAGAAAAATCGACAGACTTTGTTTTGTGGTGAAAACAGAAGCCAAATGATTTAAGCCTTGAGAAGTTAGATAGTAGCATAGCATTTTGATATCATTCCTACGGCATCAAAAAGTTTCAAATACTGTGGTCAGGTTTGGTATTTTAACAACAGAATCGAGAAACAAATAGAATTGAGCCTGCATTAGTAGAATGTAATTGCATGATGTGTGTGTGTATATAAATATAAAGATACAATGCATCACCAGTATTCAATGATAACTTTGATCTTTACATTAATAGGAAAGCAGCATTTGCCATTGAACTCACTTCTGAAGAGGTGGTTCTCCAAGCTGCCCCTTGCCATGTACTCGTATACAAGGAGAAGCTCCTCGTCCTCCAGACAGTAGCCCAAGAGCTTGACAAGGTTTGGATGGGAAAGCCGTCCTAGGAAATTCACTTCAGACTGCAACGATAAGTAACTTTAGAAATCTTAGTTGCATTAAGTGGAATCAACACAAAAGCTACACATTCTTTTGTGCTAAAATAATAGTCAACTGTGTAGACACTGCATCTTCTGTCTCTTTTCATCAGTCAGTCGCCTCTTAAATGCTAAAATCAAAATATTGAACAACACCAATGCAGATAAAACCCAATAAACCTTACTAAATTTAACATTGAACTTACAGGGTTTTGAACAGAGTGACTCCTACCTAATTGGACTGTCTGATAATATGACACTGGTTTTCAATGTATTATAACTAGAAAATAACCTCGAAGAAACGACAATAACAGTCAACTACTGTAATCTTAGTTGACTGCAACTGTAAGTAATGTTAGTAATCTTAGTTGCATTAAGTGTAATTAACACAAAAGCTACACATTCTTTTGTGCTAAAATAACAGTACTGTAGTGGCCTTCCATAAAACAGCAAGAATGTAGACACAGCATCTTCTGTCTCCTTCCATCAGTCAGTCACTTCTTAAATGCTAAAATCAAAATATTGAAGTACACCAATGCAGATGAGACCTAATAAAACTTACTAAGTTTAACACTGAACTTAAAGGTTATGAACAGAGAATGCCTTCTGCGTATAAATTGGACTTTCTGACTATATATGACCATGGTTCCCAATGCATCATAAGTGGAAAATAGCACCAAAGAAACTACAAAATTATAATAGACAATTTATCTATTAGAATCACATGATACAAAATGAAGATGGAAAATTGGTTTGACATGATGATTTTCATTTTCATTTATTTGGTAAAAATCTTCTTTAGAAAATTATCCAAAACAGATGCTATTGCTTGAAACAACATCTATATGCCTGAAATAAGATAGAATATATGCATGCATTCAAACATATATAGTAAAAGCAAACACAGGTTATTAACTAATAAAAGCAAGGGAATAGGATTATTTCAACAACTAAAGAACCAAAATAGCAATATTCTGAATAATGACATCAAATTCTTTTAAGCTTTACGATGATTGGGAATTTCACCTGCCATTGCTCTAACCCTTGCATGCTCTCAGGGTTCAGTTTCTTCACAGCAACCACCATTCCAATTCCACTCTTTGCCGGATTCAGAGTCTTCTCCTCCACCCATCCCTTGTACACTCTCCCAAATCCACCTTCCCCAAGTACTGTATCAGGCTTGAAATTTCTCGTGGCAATCTTTAGCTCAGAAAACGTAAAGACTCGAAGATTTGGCACCTCCAGAATCTGGCCATCCAGAAACCCCTCATCTGTGCTTGCGCCACTGACAATAGACTGACTAAAGTTGCTGCCGCTGAGGGTCGAAAGCTTCTCGGTGACGGTGCTACCACTAGCCTTTGATGTCGAGTGCGCTGTGATCAGAAGAGAGGAAGGGAATATAAATGATAAAGAGTTAAACTTACCCCTAATAAAGCACAATTGGAACCGTAAACTAGAGAAGGCTTCAGAGAAATGGGAATCTCCAGGTCAAAAATCAAATCTTGATTTTGGAATTCTAAATGAATACTAACGCCCAATTCACAATGATATAGTACCAACAATTTTATTCAATAATTATGAGGATTTCGCACACAATCTGAGCAAACAAGAAAACAAAAGATTTCATCTTTCTTGCGAATGGAGTGTCTAGAGGCACGGAAGCTGAAATGAATTGAAGGAAAAACGCAATCTTGCAGCTACACGATCAAACCAACAGAACAATTGAACAAGAATCAAACTTCCATGATCTGCAATTCAACCAGGAGAGCCAACAAACCGACGCAAAAAACGTCAGATGGGGAATTTGAACAAATAGCCGGACGAATCAGAACCAGATAAAAATCTGAATTTTTTTCCCTGTAAGAGACAAAAATGTAATCTATGTTGCTTCTCTGATCCAACAGTACCTGAACTCGACGGCCTGGTATCAGAGGGACTCTGAGACCCCGGGTAGAATCCCAAGCAATTCCCCATACCAACTTCTCTCTGTTCCCTCCGTGCTGTTCTCTCGTCTGCTCTCCCTCCCAATAGAGGATTGTACAGATGAGCATCATAGGGCAGCAGGGTAATAGATGGGGACGAGGCCGAGAAAGCGAAAAGTGAAGGGAGGGAGAAAGAGAGACATTGACTTGCCCCCTGCTCTCATCTCCGAGGCTGAGAATGCGAAAAGGGAAGGAAGCAACATAGAGGAACATTGACTCGTGCCCTATTCGCTCCCTCTCTCTCTCTCT